TTTCGAATATTTTTATTTTTTATTTCGTCATTTTTGTTTTACATTTGTAGTTACGTCTGACTACATTTACACACCTTGGTGAAAGCTACGTTGTATGTGTATTCTTAGGAACGTGTTCAGGAGTATCTACTTTTATACATTTGTTTAACATTACTTACTCTGTGTTCCTACATTTTGTCAAACGTCACTTGGTTCATAATCATGTATCCTTAAATTACTGACTTATTTAGATATCATTCAGTACCGGAAGAGTCCAAGTATTACATCATATTGTATAAATTTATATTTTTGCCTTTTAGAACACTCGATTAAAGAACTAACCGAAAGAATTAGGTGAAACTATTCATTTTCTGTATTACATACACGGGAAACTCCAGTGTAATTAATTGCAATATTGACGCTATATTTGGCTACTTTTTTTCGTGTGATTCATGTATTGTCAGAGACCCTGTAAACAACATAATCTTGGACATGCAAACAATTTGGAACAAAAAAGGTTAAGAAAAATGTGTTTAAACATTCGATAAAGTTCGTATCATCGATACTCCTAGGGTTAAAAACCTGTATTATTTCTTAATGAGTATGAATCGCATAATAGATTTACTTCATAGCAATGTCAAATACTCTAAAACAAATTCGTCCTAAGGGCATTTTTAGTTGTTCTTTATAATCTAAATTTTTTCAGTTAACTATGTGTTACATTTACTTAGTGGACCACTTACACATGAAATAAGATGTAACCTTCTTTTGGGACTCTTGTTCGTGCCTTAAGATTCATTTTATTGATGTTTTTTTAGCCTTAGAAATGTGGATTTTTTTAACGTTTGATAGGAGATGAGAACATCAAACCAGTGACGTTCACTTAAAATGCAGATTTGTAATCTGTAGTTGCCCCCCAGTGGCACAGCGATTTGTTTGTGGACTTACACTGCTAGAAACCGGGTTTCGATACTCGTGGTAGACAGAGCACAGATAGTCCATTGTGTAGCTTTGTTCCTAACTACAAACAAACAAATACTTTAGTTGTACAGAGCAAGTTATGTTAAACAAAATGCATAGATATAAATTTTGCCGAACGCATTGATTTCTAAGCATGGTTTCAACAGTGTGTATATATAAATGTGCATTTTTTTTTGTATTTGTTGAATCCAAATTTTAACGTCCTTCCTAACGAATCTATACTAGAGAAGATCCTTAATGATTGTTCTAAATTTCGAAAGCCATATTGAAATTCAAAGAGTGAACTTTATTCGAAAATCTACATGTGGAGAAATGACAAACCGAAAACTCGGAATTGCTCAAAAGTTGATGAATCAAATATGGGCCTGTTCATACTAGGCCTTTTTTCGTACTCAGTACAATTGGGGTTGTTTCGAGAACAGTGTGAACAAAAATGTTCGATTGGCAACGAACCGAATCGAAATGAGTCCACAAGAAGTGGTTGGTTTCGGTCCGTTTCGTAAACTAACTGGGTTTGTTTCGCTTTAAGAACTCTAAAGTGAACATTGGAAGGTCTTGGTGAGTGCGGACAAAACACTGAAGTGAACCATGAAGACTAACTTCAATTCATTTCCAAACGAACTCGGCACGCTTGTACAAAAGGCAAGTGTGAACAACCAATACACTAATAATGATAAAAGAACACAATATCGTGTATAGCAGTTGGTAAAAAACTACAGTAATCGGAACAAACTGTCAGAAATCTGATATTAGAGAAACTAGTTTCGACACATTCATGCGTTCTCTTCAGTCTCACGTTGTCTTCAGAAGAATGTTTTAAAGGGGGGGGGGGTCTGATTTAGGTTTTGAATTTCACACAAAGCTACACGAGGGCTATCTGCGCTAGCTGTCCTTAATTTAGCAACGTTAGACTAGAGGGAAGGTAGCTAGTCATCACCACCCATTGCCAACTTTTGGGCTACTCTTTTGCTCTTTTATCTATGAATAGTGGGATTGACCGTCACATTATAACGCCCCCATGGCTGAAAGGGCGAGCATGTTTTGGTGGGACAGAGATTCGAACTCGCGACCAGCAGATTGCGAGTCGAGATCCCTAACCACCTGGCCATGCCGGGCCGGACCAATTTGAGATCTAATTACAGTTTTCGACTCGGGAAGTCAAACCCTTTCGATCGATGTATCTGACCACGCCCACTATTCGTTGGTAAAAGAGTAGCCCAAGAGTTGGCGGTGGGTGGTGATGACTAGCTGCCTTCCCTCTAGTCTTACACTGCTAAATTAGGGACGCTAGCGCAGATAGCCCTCGTGTAGCTTTGCGCGAAATTCAAAACAAACAAATTGGTCTATGATCTATGAGCCGCTTTGCCGCGGCTAAGAAAGAACACAAAAGATTGAACCAACTCATGAATCTGTTACTTTTTGAAGGCTATATTCAAATATAATATTGATTTTTTACAAGTTATATCACGTATGTAAATTTATTTATTCAAAACTTTTAATATTAATGTCTTATTGATATAATTAACTAATAAATGTTTTCATAAGATATATGTTTATAAGATATATCTGTATTTTTATAGCCTAGAAGATCGGGGAAGATGGGTGAGCATGCCCAGTGTTGTTCACCCTTCTTCTCACACAGAAGACGATATCGAGCTACCCACACCTTCTAAATTTGGTCTTGTCCGTCTCCATGAGAGTCGATTCCACCATCACTTTCCTGCCGTTAGTTCTGAAGAACACTTAATCAACTGTGAGTTCATTTCAAATTTTACTAGGCGGCGAAAATAATTGAAATATTTCTTCCTCCACATACCATTCTGTATTGTTGCTATCATATTTGACTGACAAGTCGCTGATAAAGTACCTAATAGATTTTCACTGTTTATCTGTTGTTTATAAGTATATGCATAAAGCGTAAACGAATACAAGGGGCGTTGTCATGAGTTTAGTTACTGAGAATAGATAAATTAACTTAGGTTTAGCTTATCTTGATGGCGACTAAAATATCCAAAGATATTACTCGGGAAGCCTCCTTGAGTCCTTGCAAGGGAGACATTACTAAAAAAATATGCGACAAGTAATAATTAAAATTGTGTAAGTTCCATCCGTCTAAGCCAAGATCACACGTTGTGAGCACTGTGGACAAATATGTTTTTCACTAAAATGTGCTTAAAAGTTTTTAAACCTTTTATAAGTATTAAGTATAATATTATTATTACACGTTCTATTTACACTTACTGTACACTTAGAATACTTTTACAAATATTAAATTATAAGAGATAAGGTTCATTGATGCCTCTTACACCCTAACGCTTTTTAACTGTTCTAATGTAATTGTAAGAAATCTTTGTATTTAATAGTCAGTCCCTGAATGTCAGTATTTATGTACTTTGAATAACGAACCCAAGAAACATTACACCAGTAATTATGAACCCGGTGTTTATAGAACCTGTAAAAATGGAATCTATAGTAATGCAGTGACATAATTTGGAGCTGTTTCTTTAAAAAAACAATTATATTATGATTTTTACGTCTCCCGCTCCCACCTCTGTGTTATTACTAGTATAATTTGTACAGCAGGCTAAAGAGGTTGAATAATAGATGTCTTTTTATGAGCTGATTATCTAAGTTCGTTATCAAATGACGTGGGAGAATAAAACATTATTTAGTAAGTTGAATAATGTTCAAAAGGCATTATTATTTTTTAAAAGTAGAAAGTTTGAACTTCGCAAAGTAAGACTGCCAAATCAATTAACCCCTCAGATTATCTGTTTGTGTACCGTTCAGTAATGTGGGCCCACATATTGCTTCACATTGAATAAGATTATGTTTTTGTCTGTAAAAATACTCGGTGTTAAAAACTGACCAATAAAAAATGGGGAAATTACCATTTTGTAGGATTAATTGTAATATTTTTGGTTAATTTTTTTGTGTAACCCGGATGTTATTATGGAACCCTGTAACCAACAGTCATTAACTCATAAGCAAATTTAGTGCATAAGTACTTTGGAAAAATTTGTTTAAAAAACAGATAGGATGGACCCCATCGTTGATTTAACGTGTTTCGGGCTTTGTAATATTAATTTTTTGTCCTTGAATATTTTACACAACAGAGGAATATACAAAAAAAATAATAATAATATACAGGATCAAACACGGAAAGGAAAATTACCGAATCCAAAATGCTCTCCAAAAAATTGACATCGGTTCAGTTGTATATCCCGCAGTGGCTCAGTGTGAGGACTTATAACGCTAAAAATCAGGTTTCGATTCCCGTGGTTGGGTAGCTTTGGGCATAACAAATAAACAAACATGTCAACTGTATGTAACGTGTATATGTTGTGCAAAGTAAATGCTTTTATTAAAATATAATTTCATCTCTAAATTTACACTATAACCTTAGTGAAACATGTTAAACCTATTATACAATGTTTGCGATGTTCTACGATTTGTAAAATTTCCAACTATAAAACGTTCCTAATTTTATTGATTTCTTTTCACCTATGCAGACTACCACTGTGCCCTTGTTTCAGACATCCTTCTACAAGGATTTCTTTATCTGTCAAAAAACTATTTCGCTTTTTACTCCAACATATTTGGCTACAAGACAAAGGTGAGAGAGGACTTTATGAATGTTACAGCCAAATCATTAAAGAACTGTGAAAAATGGATAAAAAGAATGTTACAATAAATAGTTGTATACATATATATATTATTATAGTAAGTGAGAAATTACACCATTTGTTTTCAATAAAATGTAGTAGATTATACCTATATAACATGGTACAAGTAACTGATGGGAACGAAAAATGTTCTGGTCGTATAATTCTGATTTGTATGTCTTTTGATCTTATATAATAGAAAACTTCATCGGTATTCTTTCAGTATAACTATAGTTGGCAGCTAGCTACTTCACAAGTTATATTGATTAAAACAGGATTATTGTTGTATATTATTCTACGTAACAAAAACTTCCATCAGTGTTTTCTCAGTATCACCAAAATTGGCAATTAGAAAGTTCACACATTACTTATAAGGTATATTGTTTTTTTTCGACAATAGGCCAGGCGTAACCTATGCATAAATTATACTTGAATTGATTCAATGATTACCCTATAATACAAAACCCATCCGTGACTACCCTTTATATATTATATTAATACGTAAAAGCAGGAAAATGTATCCCAAAAATGTCGCTCTTTACTTCTTACTGAATGACATTAGATAACGCTACAAAGACTGGGCTGGAAGTGGCCTACTGGCTAACATGCCGGTTTGATCAGAGGTTCAATGTTCGCGTCCCGTTACTGAAAACCGCACTCCTCACTTTGGCACCATTGTGCTTTATAAGAGTAATAGTCAAACCCCGTTATTCAATTAGAGTAGCTCAAAGATGGGTCTTGTTGACCAATTACTCTTCTTCTAGTGTTTAACTTCAAAATCAGAACCCTGGTATAGCTTTACGAGAATATCTAAACCAAAAATACACAAAACAAAAGAAAATATGTTCGTAGCAGAATTAGATTATTTAGAGATTGAGTATGTTATATTGAAACTATTTTGGAATCTCACCTCTTGATTACAGTCCATGTCGCCACGTCCGGCCATGCTCTATCGTACATCTCGTAGTTTCCATTGCAGAAGGCTCCGTCGTAAGGCTGTCATGTCAAAAGTGTCAAAACATACCTCTCATCTCTGTTGCTTTCTGTAAGACATCTAGTGTATGAGGACGACGTTTGAACAGTCCTATCGTACTGATATCTACAGACGTTGCATCCGGCAACTTGACCGGTATGTTTTCTTAAAGAATAGTCTGAAAGCCCATTTCATTTTCCAGCTGCTTGGGGTATGCGAAGAATGAACAGATATGTCGTGGAAACAATTTGTGTCGCTTCTCCAGACGGAGATTCTTATTGATATGTTGAATACTGTTGCCTGGGGCATGTGGACGGCTTTTGCCATTGATTTTTGTGTTCCTGGAATTTCACCTGTTACAAGACTCCGCACTCTGCTTGCCACGGTGGGGTATGACTTGTTGCAAGTATCTTTCTGGATGGTCCTTGTTTACCAAATTGATCCATATTCCTTTGTTTTCCAAGGCTATTAAGAGTACAAAGGATATGCAAGTCTTGGAGATTCTAAATCCACGATCTGAACACATATTCACAACTTGAATGTATGAATATTTTGCGACATAAAAGGCTGTTACATGTCCTTCCCAAATGTGATCAATTTCTGATGGATCACACTGTCTATGTTAAACCATACAATGTGAAATTATTATACATGCCGTTCCACCTTGACTTTACATCGGTTGAAGTTGTCATGTGACTTTCTGATTAGCATATTCTAAATCGTTTTAATACAACATACTTAATCGTCTGTATAATGAATAAGAAATTGCATCAGTGTTCTCTGAATATCACTCAACATTAGCTAACTGGTAATAACAGGTTTACATGTAAGAAATAAGTTAATTGTTTAATTATTACATGATTATTGGTTTTTATTGCAACATTTACAAGTATTATGAAACAATTTATCGCTCAATAAAAAAGCTATGTAGTGCTGGCTAGTGAACTTGAAAAAATGAACCAAACAAGATATGAAAGGAAGAGGACATATCTTTTGATCCGGCTAATGATCACATAGCAGACTAAGCTGTCTCGAGTTTAAATGGAGAATAAAATCCCTACATTACTGGCTTCCTCACCTTGTCTATCGAATGCTTGGTGTTTGAATAGAATCTCAGTTTTTATCATTAAACCTTCCCTTTAGTTAACTTTAGAATACTACTTTTATGACTATTTTACAATAGAGTAACATGTTACGATTGGAAATTGAGGTTCTGTTTGTTTTGCCGCTGAGGAAGCCAGTAATGTACGATCTTATTAACCATGTAAAGTTGAGATACCTTAGTCTGCTATGTGATCATTAGCCGGATCAAGTGATATGTCCACTTCCATCTTTATCGTGTTTGGTTCCTAGTTTCAAGTTCAGTAGCCAGCCCTATATAGTTTTTTTTATTAAGCGATAATTAATTTTCCTAATACTTGTTTATTTATTTTTTATAAGATGGCGTACGTGGGTTACTATGTAATAGAGTGTGTTCTATAGCTTTATAAATTTTGCATATAATAATAATAATAAAATTGGTAGTGAAAGATCGGGAAAATTGTTTTGCTCTATCAAATAATGGTAAAATTATAGTTACTGCTAGAACTAGGTAGACGCTAGGCCTGTTGAAGAAACGTGATGATGAACGAAAATAAGAAATCTCGGTTTGGTTATTCGCCGTTTTTCGACCTTATGACGCTCTAGATAGCTGGAAAGCGGCATATACGTCGGAGATATAGCGACTATACTAGGTAGCTCTTCATACGTAGCTTCTGATGACCCGCAGAGAAGAAAATCCAGATGACTTTTGTATTGCTTTAATACGGGCGCCCGTGCCATCCCTACATAGAGAGTGTTAGTACACTCTCCGATAAGTAGCATGAGTACTTCTATTTGATTTGATTCTAACTTGAAAGCTATTGCTAAACGTTAGATTAAGTTGCATGTAGATTACTTTCAGTTGATATTGTCAAAGGTTTTAGATTGAAACACTTGTTGCTAATTGATCTATTTAAAAATAACATTTATTTCGCGTTTCTTTTCTTTTGCAAATTTTATACGTGAAAATTGCCACAAACATTTAGTCATAAGTAATTGAAGCAAGAATATACACAGTAGCTATACATCGTGTACAAAATTCATAGCGCTGAGTGTTATATTCTTCTTCCACGTAGTTAATTATAAGAGCAAATGTTGCCAGCGTTTTTTGTTTGTTTGTTTTGGTCTCCACCAAGCCTTTCCAGATAAAGATTATCTCTGCCGACAGAGGGAGGACAAAAGGTAGAGATCAAAATGGGGAATAGCAGTAACTCGAGAAGACGGAGAGGCTGGTGAAAAAGATAAATCTGTAGTAGCTTTGTGAGGATTATTTATTTAGTTATTTTTGCGTATGAGAAATGTTGCCCATTCTACTATGTCGTTGCAACCATCTTACGCACTTTCTATTTCACTGGTTTCAGCAATACATAAAAGTACGACATTTGTTTAGGTAAATTGTAATTTGTTATCCATGTATAGTTTTTGCATAAGCAATAATAAGTAGATTAGCCCTCTGTCGGAAGATTATATCTATGAGAGACAAAAAAAAAACACCAGTTAAATGCTGTGTTGTAATTTAAAGTTAAACCCAATTTCAATTAGAAAGTGTGTCTTTGACCAGATTTTTTTCGTTGAGAGGTGTTTTAATCGAACGGTTAAAAAGTATCGACGATTTTATTTGCTACATATTCATAAAAGTGGACATGTTTTAATGCCGCGTTAAGTTTTTTTTATTTAAAGAATTTTACTCTATCTTCAGGAATTTTTTATTTTAGTACCGTGTTAAAATATTCTGAATTGAATTGAACTTTTAGCTATATGATTTTTACTTTCACTGCATGCCATGGGCACACAGATAAGATGCACTATATAACCTTTGTTATAGTCATAAAAAATAAAATGATGACCAGATGAGTTTGAAATTCTGTACCATAATGAAGAAAAGGATTTACCAGTTTCGATTTTCAGATAAGTGTGATATATTCAGGTGAACTTGACAGCTATATCGGACAAATCCGCTGAACAGGAAATTCGATACGATAGGGCATTACGGAACACTGCTGAATGCACACTAGCTGAGTTTAAGGCTAGGAATAACAGGACTGAATGCAAAGTGTAAGAAACAACGAACACAATAATTATTAACCACTTAAGACAAAAACACTGTGTGTGTGTGTATATGTGTGTGCGCATGCGTTTGTGTGTGTAGTTTCATATTAGACCGTTACTTCAAGTCAGGATCAGGTCAAGTAAGAGGTTTATAATTAAAAAGAAACCTGTGTTTATCTAGCGCGACTGTGAAACCACATGGCTGGTCATTCTGAAACTACTGTGGTCACTCAGTTAATACGGATATTTATTTTGCTCTAACGAGATAATGATCTTAAGGCTGACGTTATTACTATGAATGACAGTTGTTTTCACTTTAATGCTGTACAAGATAATGCTTCTATCACTTGCTATTAATTTTCTACTTAGCTTTCGGAATGTTTATTTGTAATTAAGCGCAAAGCTACACAATGGGCTATCTGTGCTCTGCCCACCACGGGTATCGAAACCCGGATTCTAGCGTTATAAGTCCGCAGAGATACCGCTGTGCCACTTAGGGGGCCTTTCGGAATGAAATCGTACTATAATGTACAAAAATATTAGTCTGGCGTAACTACAATTGTTACAGCGTTGAATGAGATATCGTTAAAAATATTTGTTTCATATTTATTATCAAAAGTCAAATTTTATCTGGTTCGATTGTAGCATATATTTCAAACCACAACGGTAGAAGTTTAGCCCTCTCTTCTATACTTGTAATAAATATTGATTTAAAACTCAACAAAGCTGCTAAAACAGAAGTAGAAACTGAAGAATTCAGAATCAAACTGATCAGTATTTCAGAAAGCCGTGCAATGTCCCACTATATTACCCACCCTAACAGAAAAAATTGCCCCCAGGAACTTAGAA